CTGCAATTTCAATTGAATCCTCCAGAAATGACAGAACAAATATTGCAACAAATATTGTGGTTAAACTCAAATATACTAATTGATAAAAAAACGTTATTTTTTGAGAAAATATTTTTAAAAGGTATAATCTTCGTAAATTATATTATCGGTAGGAATGGTGGAGTTGTCGCACATGCAGCTAACAAAAACATATGGAAATGTCTGCTCTACCCAAAATTACAACCAAATAATTGCAGCATTACCGCAAAAATGGAAGAGGAAAGTGGAAGGAGGAAAAAGTAAGGAACTTGTCTGTCGGCCTTGCATTAAAGAACATAATTGGTTAAAGAAAATTGTGATAAATAAAAAAGTTTACCAATTTCATTTAAGGACCAAAGGATTGACAGCCGTCCAGATTGCAAAATAGTTGGGAAGAGATTTTTGACATACCGATTCCATGGCATAGTGTTTATGAACAGATACGCAAAACGACGCCGGATTCAAAACTTAGAATTTTTCAATTTAAATTATTATATAAAATTCTTGCTACCAATAAAATGTTATTTGTATGGGGGATACAATCTTCCCATCTCTGCAGATTTGGCTGTGAAGAGACAGAATCATTAGATAATTTGTTTTGGTACTGTCCATTTGTAGCTTGTTTCTGGACACAGGTCCAGGAATGGCTGAAGGATTGCAATATTTGCATGGAGCTGACCCTGCAGATAGCACTACTGGGTGATCTGAAAAGTCATAGTCAATTGATCAATAATATAATAATACTTTTAGCAAAAATGTTTATTTTCAATTTACAATCTGTAGAAACAATTAGAATAGAAAGGTTCAGAACTTTTGTAAAACATCACAGTACAGTTGAAAAATATATGGCAAATAGAAATCCAATATGGATGGTGTTCAGAGATAGATGGGAGGTGTTGAATGGAGCTGAATGATGGGACTAATAACAACAACTAATAACAACAAGATAACTAGTGTAAGACATGCTGTATCCATAATAAGTATATAGGTTATATATTGTGAGCTTTTGTGAAAGAGCACAGTTAGAAAGATATGGCATATAGAAACATACAGTGAGGGAAAAAAGTATTTGATCCCCTGCTGATTTTGTACGTTTGCCCACTGACAAAGACATGATCAGTCTATAATTTTAAATGGTAGGTTTATTTGAACAGTGAGAGACAGAATAACAACAACAAAATCCAGAAAAACGCATGTCAAAAATGTTATAAATTGATTTGCATTTTAATGAGGGAAATAAGTATTTGACCCCTCTGCAAAACATGACTTAGTACTTGGTGGCAAAACCCTTGTTGGCAATCACAGAGGTCAGACGTTTCTTGAAGTTGGCCACCAGGTTTGCACACATCTCAGGAGGGATTTTGTTCCACTCCTCTTTGCAGATCTTCTCCAAGTCATTAAGGTTTCAAGGCTGACGTTTGGCAACTCTGACCTTCAGCTCCCTCAACAGATTTTCTATGGGATTAAGGTCTGGAGACTGGCTAGGCCACTCCAGGACCTTAATGTGCTTCTTCTTGAGCCACTCCTTTGTTGCCTTGGCCGTGTGTTTTGGGTCATTGTCATGCTGGAATACCCAACCACGACCCATTTTCAATGCCCTGGCTGAGGGAAGGAGGTTCTCACCCAAGATTTGACGGTACATGGCCCCGACCATCGTCCCTTTGATGCGGTGAAGTTGTCCTGTCCCCTTAGCAGAAAAACACCCCCAAAGCATAATGTTTCCACCTCCATGTTTGACGGTGGGGATGGTGTTCTTGGGGTCATAGGCAGCATTCCTCCTCCTCCAAACACGGCGAGTTGAGTTGATGCCAAAGAGCTCCATTTTGGTCTCATCTGACCACAACACTTTCACCCAGTTCTCCTCTGAATCATTCAGATGTTCATTGGCAAACTTCAGACGGGCCTGTATATGTGCTTTCTTGAGCAGGGGGACCTTGCGGGCACTGCAGGATCTCAGTCCTTCACGGCGTAGTGTGTTACCAATTGTTTTCTTGGTGACTATGGTCCCAGCTGCCTTGAGATCATTGACAAGATCCTCCCGTGTAGTTCTGGGCTGATTCCTCACCGTTCTCATGATCATTGCAACTCCACGAGGTGAGATCTTGCATGGAGCCCCAGGCCGAGGGAGATTGACAGTTATTTTGTGTTTCTTCTATTTGCGTATAATTGCACCAACTGTTGTCACCTACTCACCAAGCTGCTTGGCGATGGTCTTGTAGCCCATTCCAGCCTTGTGTAGGTCTACAATCTTGTCCCTGACATCCTTGGAGAGCTCTTTGGTCTTGGCCATGGTGGAGAGTTTGGAATCTGATTGATTGATTGCTTCTGTGGACAGGTGTCTTTTATACAGGTAACAAGCTGAGATTAGGAGCACTCCCTTTAAAAGAGTGTGCTCCTAATCTCAGCTCGTTACCTGTATAAAAGACACCTGGGAGCCAGAAATCTTTCTGATTGAGAGGGGGTCAAATACTTATTTCCCTCATTAAAATGCAAATCAAATTATAACATTTTTGACATGCGTTTTTCTGGATTTTGTTGTTGTTATTCTGTCTCTCACTGTTCAAATAAACCTACCATTAAAATTATAGACTGATCATTTATTTGTCAGTGGGCAAACGTACAAAATCAGCAGGGGATCAAATACGTTTTTCCCTCACTGTACCAGATTGACATCATGAAAATTATCGGAGGAAGTTCAGGAGTAAAAACAAACAAAATATAATTATTGACTGTGTCCATAAAATGTATATAGTATGTATAAGCATGAAGTAGAGGCCTAAGCATTGTTGTTCACTAGTTTACTCAAATTAGGGAAGGGATGGTGGGGTTGGAATGTAATAAAGGGAAATATATATATATTTAAAGGATATTTATGTATATATATATATATATATTTATATATATATGTATATCCGTATATGTATGTATGTGTACATATATATGTGCGAGAGAAAAAAAGAAAACAAACATATGGGGGATTGGAAGTGACGCAGACAATTACATTGATGGAAGTTACAATCGATCTGCAATATTAAAGCCGATCTATCCCCTAAAAAATAATAATAATACAAATATTTGCTTTATACTGCAAGCAAAGCAATTCACAGTTTACAGTGTATTCAATAACTGCCAGGCGTTTTAAAAGCAATAACCATACAGTGTACATAGTAGTTAGTTATCTATTTCTCTATGATTTCAACATGTCACAGAGAAATCAATAAGAGGTAAAAAAGTTTGACAAAATATTTGGCCTTTTGCAATTACAGTACCAGTCCAAAGTTTGGACACACTACTCATTCCAAGGTTTTTCTTTATTTTTACTATTTTCTACATTGTAGAATAATAGTGAAGACATCAAAACTATGAAATAACACACATGGAATCATGTAGTAACCAAAAAAGTGTTAAACAAATCAAAATATATATAGGGTATAGCCACCCTTTGCCTTGACCACAGCTTTGCACACTCTTGGCATTCTCTCAACCAGCTTCACCTGGAATGCTTTTCCAACAGTCTTGAAGGAGTTCCCACATGTGCTGAGCACTTGTTGGCTGCTTTTCCTTCACTCTGCGATCCGACTCATCCCAAACCATCTCAATTGGGTTGAGGTCGGGGGACTGTGGAGGCCAGGTCACCTGATGCAGCATTCCATCACTCTCCTTCTTGGTAAAATAGCCCTTACACAGCCTGGAAGTGTGTTGGGTCATTGTCCTGTTGAAAAACAAATGATAGTCCCACTAAGCCCAAACCAGATGGTATGGCGTATCACTGCAGAATGCTGTGGTAGCCATGCTGGTTGTGTGCCTTGAATTCTAAATCAATCATTGACAGTGTCACCAGCAAAGCACCCCCACACCATAACACCTCCTCCTCCATGCTTTAGGGTGGGAAATAAACATGCGGAGATCATCTGTTCACCCACACCGTGTCTCACAAAGCCACGGCGGTTGGAACCAAAAATCTCAAATTTGGAAAAGTTTCCACCGGTCTAATGTCCATTGCTCGTGTTTCTTGGCCCAAACAAGTCTCTTCTTATTATTGGTGTCCTTTAGTAGTGGTTTCTTTGCAGCAATTTGACCATGAAGGCCTGATTCACACAGTCTCCTCTGAACAGTTGATGTTGAGATGTGTCTGTTACTTGAACTCTGTGAAGCATTTATTTGGGCTGCAATTTCTGAGGCTGGTAACTCTAATGAACTTATCCTCTGCAGCAGAGGTAACTCTGGGTCTTCCATTTCTGTGGCGGTCCTCATGAGAGCCAGTTTCATCAAAGCTCTTGATGGTTTTTGTGACTGCATTAAAATAAACTTTCAAAGTTCTTGAAATGTTCCGTATTGACTGACCTTCATGTCTTAAAGTAATGATGGACTGTTGTTTCTCTTTGCTTATTTGAGCTGTTCTTGCCACAATATGGACTTGGTCTTTTACCAAATAGGGCTATCTTCTATATACCCCCCTACCTTGTCACAACACAACTGACTGGCTCAAACGCATTAAGAAGGAAATAAATTCCACAAATTAACTTTTAACAAGGCACACCTGTTAATTGAAATGCATTCGAGGTGACCCTCTCATGAAGTTGGTTGAGAGAATGCCAAGAGTGTGCAAAGCTGTCATCAAGGCAAAGGGTTGCTATTTGAAGAATCTCAAATATGAAATATATTTTGATTTGTTTTACACTTTTTTTGGCTACTACATGATTCCATATGTGTTATTTCAAAGTTTTGATGTCTTCACTATTATTCCACAATGTAAAAATAGTAAAAATAAAGAAAAACCCTTGAATGAGTAGGTGTGTCCAAACTGTTGACTGGTGACTGGTATTGTATATAATTATCAACATTATCATCTGGTATTGTGTCCACATTTCGACCTTGGAGTTGCTTAAATTGTAATTGAAAACATATGAAATATCTCTACAGCATTTATAAAATCCCAGAATTTTTCCATTACAGAAACTCACAATAAAAATATCCCTGTTTTAGTGTCCATTTTCAATACATTTGAAATAGGAGGTATGGTCCAAGGACTGCACCTCACAGACCTGAGTCAGCTTGCAGGCCCCATCACCCACAATGGTATCATCATAGCTCACCATAAAATCGCAAAAATACTTCTGAACCACTTCGCTTTGCTGCATCTCTAAACTCAGGGCAAGTTTAAACAAGCTGTGTGGTTGAGTATCCTTTCATCCAAACGGTTCAGTCATTACGTATTCAATTTTCCAGTCAGATCTTTGGCTTCGGTGAGATTCAAGTAGTACTGCCAAATATCCTTCAGAGAGAGAAAGACTATTTCAAAACCATGAAAAGCAATATAAAAAAAAATCGCTCTGAGAGAGTCCCTTGATTAGAAGTAGATGTGTTATGAATGACAGTACCATTAATCATGAAGGAACAGCATTGCTGTGGGTCTAGGGCAGGGATCATCAACTAGATTCAGCCGCGGGACGATTTTTTCTTGAGCGGATGGTCGGGAAGCCAGAACATGATTACAAATCATTTGTAGACTGCAAATTGACTGCAAGAAGCCCAAACCAATATAATATTTTACTAAAACATAATAATTTCAAGCCTTGCTTACATTTGTATACGATCACGTGTCTCTCTCTCTATTATGCATGGTAATAATAGGGAATAGATTTCCAAAATGTATAATCATTTGGAGCTGATTTCCTGGGGGTTTTACAGTCTTTTATGTCCAACAATGAAAATCCCCTCCTCCCTCCCCCCAAAATGGCCACCAGCTGGGGAACCCTGGTCTAGGGGTTTGTTAAGCTGTTGAGACTGAATGCTCCTCATTTGAAAAAGTATAGTCAAGAGTTTTCTGATTCGTTCTTATTTTCCACAAGGCCTTTTCTTAACAGATTACCCCAGGAAGTAGAGTTACAAAGAGACTGACGGTGATTTTCAAAGGCTGTGCCCTCCCCACTGTTGACTGTGGCGCTTACATGTTTGAGCTCCCGTCTTTGGGGCATGCTGAAATCACCTGTAAGCTACTCTGAGCTCTATGCTGTATGAACGAGAATCCCAATGGGATTGCTCTGAAGAAACTGTACTTTGATATACCAATACAAGGACAGATCAGTGTTGACCTTATGAAAATTATAGGAGGGGAAGTGAAAATGCAGAACTGAAATCAACCTCTGCATGGTAATGATTAAATAAGTTCAGCCTAACTACATCACCTTGAGAGGGTTAATGTTAGACATGAGGATGATAATACATAATGAATGGATATTTCCAAACATGTTCAAATGAAAGTAGATTGTCCCAAACCCCCGGATAATGGTGGTTTACAAGTTAACTGAGTTCCCCACTTACCAGCTGCCCGTAGTCCTATGGGTTATAGTGGGACATGCGGAAGGCTGGGTTGTTGGAGTACGGCTCTTCTGCACTTTTGATTGGAGTAACAGCCGGTGTGACAAACAGGGAATTATTAATTGGCTCCCCTTCAAAGCAAACAAATGATGATTTGGTTAAATAAATACATGGCTAAAGGCATTAATTCCTTAGTTCCTCCTCCATTGCATTAAGCTAGCTAATTATACAAACAAGCATTTTTGTGGCTGTGGGGATTCTAGCCAACACTGACAGTCATGATAACACTGAACCCACAGGAGGTTAATGGGTCACATTGGTGGATGTGGATTGTCTGAGTAGTTGAACATGTTCTAAATGCGTCATTATAGTTGGAAAGGTACAAAAGGTCACTCAGCATATGATGCCTCGTTGGTTTGTAGGAAGGATAGTTCCTAATTTCAATGTGGTCCTCTGTAGCTCAGCTGGTAGAGCACGGCGCTTGTAACGCCAAGGTAGTGGGTTCGATCCCCGGGACCACCCATACACAAAAAAAATTATGCACGCATGACTGTAAGTCGCTTTGGATAAAAGCGTCTGCTAAATGGCATATTATTATTATTATTATTACTATTATTAATTTGATGATAGATAAAAATAATGTTCAAACCTCATCCTGACCCAGTCACTTACCAGACAAAAATGCACTTTGGCAAAAGAGGGTATGATTAAGTTTACAGCATATTATCTATTGAATACTATTAATGCTATCAATACTATAAGTTAATCAATACTAGTTACCCCTTGATGACAGTCACTTATCCAACACAGAGCCTTGACACTATCCAGTGACTTACCTTGCTGATTGTGCAAGACCATTATGCTGTCTCTGTGAGTGTGGCCATAGAAATGCCCTGAGATGATGTCACTGTAGTTGCGAAAGGTCTTCACAAGTCTCTCATTGTAGACTTCTCTGACGACGGTGGTATTCCTGGCATAGGGCAAGTAACCCACTGGAACATGAGCAATGACAGGAGAAACAGCATGTTTAGGCACCATAGGACTGGTTTGGAGTCAAACCTTGCTTTAAAAAGATATGTCAGTCTTCCATGTTATATCCTGTATAAGCAGTCTTCTGGTGCTTAGAATCCATGCAGGACTATTCAGAAGCCATCCTCACCTGGCTAGACATATTCCATCTACTAAGTAATGTAGCTACAGTGCCTTCAGAAAGTATTCACATGCCTTGAGTTTTTCCACATTTTGTTGTTTTACAAAGTGAGATTAAAATTGATTAATTGTAATTCTTTGTCAACGATCTACACAAAATACTCAAATGTCAAAGTGGAAGAAAAATTTTAACATTTGTAAAAAACTTCAATGAAAATAAAACTAATATATCTTGATTAGATAAGTATTCAACCCCCTGAGTCAATACATGTTAGAATCACCTTCAGCAGTGAGTCTTTCTGGGTAAGTCTCTAAGAGCTTTCCACACCTGGATTATGCAACATTTGTCCATTACTCTTTTCAAAATTCTTCAAGCTCTGTCAAATTGGTTGTTGGTCATTGCTGGAAAACCCTTTTCAGGTCTTGCCATAGATTTTCAAGCAGATTTAAGTCAAAACTGTAACTCGGCCATTAAGGAACATTCCCTGTCTTCTTGGTAAGCAACTCCAGTGTAGATTTGGCCTTGTGTTTTAGGTTATTGTCCTGCTGAAAGGTGAATTCACCTCCCAGTGTCTGGTGGAAAGCAGACTGAACCAAGTTTTCCTCTCGGATTTTGCCTGTGCTTAGCTCCATTCCTGTTTTTTTTATCCTGAAAAACTCCACAGTCCTTAATGATTACAAGCATACCCATAACATAATGCAGCCAGCACAATGCTTGAAAATATGGAGAGTGGTACTCAGGGATGTGTTGTGTTGGATTTTCCCCAAACATAAGACTTTGTATTCAGGACCAGAAGTTAATTCCTTTGCCATATGTTTTGCAGTATTACTTTATAGCCTTGTTGCAGACAGGATGCATGTTTAGGAAAAAATGTATTCTGTACAGGCATCCTTCTTCTCACTCTGTCAATTAGGTGAGTATTGTGGACTAACTACAATGTTGTTGATCCATCTGCAGTTTTCTCCTATCAGAGCCATTAAACTCTGTTTAAAAGTAACCATTGGCCTCATGGTGAAATCCCTGAGCGGTTTCCTTCCTCTCCAGCAACTGAGTTAGGAAGGACGCCTATATCTTTGTAGTGACTGGGTGTATTGATACACCATCCAAAGTTTCATTAATAACTTCACCATGACCAAAGGGATATTCAATGTAATTTTTACCCATCTACCAATAGGTGCCCTTCTTTGCGAGGCATTGGAAAACCACCCTGGTCTTTGTGGATGAATCTGTGTTTGAAATTCAATGCTCGACTGAGGGACCTTGCAGATAATTGTATGTGTGGGGTACAGAGATGAGGTAGTCATTCAAATATCATATTGAACACTATTATTGCACACAAAGTGAGTCCATTCAACTTATTACGTGACTTGTTAAGAACATTTTTACTCCTGAACGTATTTAGGCTTGCCATAACAAATGGATTGAATACTTACTGACTCAAGACATTTTCAGCTTTTCATTTTTAAATAATTTGTAAAACATAAATAAAAAAACATGATTCCACTTTGACATTATGGGGTATTGTGTATAGGCCAGTTAAGCATTTTAAATTACAGGTTGTATTGCAACAAAATAGGAAAATCGCCATGGAGGATTAATACTTTTGCAAGGCACTGTAGTATAGGATTGTGTTCAGGCTTATCAGTCGCAGCTTGGGCTGCATCAACTGAGAGTAAAATCCGCCTTCACAAAATGGACACTTACATTTTTACATTTTAGTCATTTAGCAGACACTCTTATCCAGCGTGACTTAGAGTAGTGAGTGCATACATTTTCATTCATACTGGTTCCCCGTGGGAATTGAACCCACAACCATGGCGTTGCAAGTGTCATGCTCTACCAACTGAGACCCGCAGGACAAAAAATTCAAGGTAAGGTTATTGTGTGCTGGGTCAAGTTATTGTGAGTTCTGCAATGGTGATCAATATGTAATGTTTATGGACATTAAAAACAATGCAAAAAATAATTGCAAAGTACCAAGAGGCCTGATCAGCAGGCCTAAAATGAGTTCTCTCTCACGTCCTAGCCACAAGCAGCTTACCTTCTCTTTGAGTTACAAGGGCTTCTGGCTTCAACCAAGGCTCCCACAGTTTGGCTGCAGCCTGGTAAATATCATTAGTAGAGGTCGGAAGTTGATCCTGAAAATAATATTTAACACTATCATGAAAATACAGTACATATACAAAAAAATGAAACAGAAACATTCTTATAGAGGTAAAATGGGCAATCAACTGCTGCCCACACTAAAAATGCATGAAGGAAACTATCTTTCAGACATGCCGATACAATCTCCGGTTTGACCCAGGGTGTCTACCACTCTCAGCATTTAACATGATGTCTATCCATCACAGGTCATCTCCACCCCATCACCTCCCACATGTGGAATAGATAGAATACCTGTGGTCAATAGTCGCGGTTCCCGAGGGCGGGGTACAACGGCATGTCTAGGAGGAACTCCCTGATGGTTTGAGTCATGTTGCTGATGACTTGGATCACCACGTCCGTGGATAGCTCCCCTGATGGGACATGTGGAGGACTGTCTCTAAAGAGAGGAATAAGCTCATTCTAATAACTTATTAGAGAGAGCCCAGGGCAGAATTAATTAAATAAAACAAAGATCTGCTCATATATTACCCCTAAATCCCTGTAATCACATTTGAATCTAGGTGCAGTGGCAGGGCCTTTCACCAAAGCATCTTAATTATGCTTACCAGGCATTATACATGCCAATAAAATGTCAGGCTTAACCGATTAACTGAAGATTTGTGAAATGAACTAGCTTAGCACCATACACATGCAGTACAAGTCCTTTCGTGTTGTGTATGATTCATATTTTCAGGCCTTAGCATAGCATTTAGTAAATTTTTAGTAGCCTTTGCTATGCATTGCTCTTTACTCTATTCATATGCACACCTATCTGATGCTGAGTCATCCCCACTGGTTGCACGTTGGCATAATGACTTTATAGCACTGTTTTCATATCAGCAGAAGGATTTAAGGCCTATTTGGCTGCTGTGCAAATTACTTATTGCATTTCGGGTTGAGACAGCCTAGAGCCGATTCAAGACGATACACTATACAGACATTGTTCATGCTTCACTGAGTAAATCACAGATTTGTTGCTTATTTTACAACAATTCCATCAGTGACAAAATCATTGTTAGTTATCCAATGACAGGAAGGAGGAAGCAATATGTTTTTGTTAATTGTTTAACCTCTCAAATGGTGCACAGTGTACTTCTCCAATTTTGTGGTATATGAAACAGGAAAACAAATCCACATTAACACCACATATTGATTTCCATACCATATAAAGCTCCAAACCCTGTCCAAATCATAAACTCCGGCTGTGGGGGCACTTGTTTCGTTTAGTTTTTCATACCAGATAAAGCTACAAACCTTGTCCAGATCATAAACTCTGGCTGTGGGCCACTTGTTTCACCCTAGACTCTGTCGTACATGAAAAGTCCAGGAGGCCGGCGGTTTCTGTGATACTGGAACCGGCATGCCTGGCACCGACGATCATGCCACGGTCAAAGTCTCTTAGGTCACTCGTTTTGCCCATTCTAATGTTCAATCTAACAGTACCTGAATGCCTCGATGCCTGTCTGCCTGCTATATACAGTGGGGAGAACAAGTATTTGATACACTGCCGATTTTGCAGGTTTTCCTACTTACAAAGCATGTAGAGGTCTGTAATTCAAAAAATCCAGAAAATCACATTGTATGATTTTAAAGTAATTAATTTGCATTTTATTGCATGACATAAGTATTTGATACATCAGAAAAGCAGAACTTAATACTTGGTACAGAAACCTTTGTTTGCAATTACAGAGATCATACGTTTCCTGTAGGTCTTGACCAGGTTTGCACACACTGCAGCAGGGATTTTGGCCCACTCCTCCATACAGACCTTCTCCAGATCCTTCAGGTTTCGGGGCTGTCGCTGGGCAATACGGACTTTCAGCTCCCTCCAAAGATTTTCTATTGGGTTCAGGTCTGGAGACTGGCTAGGCCACTCCAGGACCTTGAGATGCTTCTTACGGAGCCACTCCTTAGTTGCCCTGGCTGTGTGTTTCGGGTCGTTGTCATGCTGGAAGACCCAGCCACGACCCATCTTCAATGCTCTTACTGAGGGAAGGAGGTTGTTGGCCAAGATCTCGCGATACATGGCCCCATCCATCCTTCCCTCAATACGGTGCAGTCGTCCTGTCCCCTTTGCAGAAAAGCATCCCCAAAGAATGATGTTTCCACCTCCATGCTTCACGGTTGGGATGGTGTTCTTGGGGTTGTACTCATCCTTCTTCTTCCTCCAAACACGGCGAGTGGAGTTTAGACCAAAAAGCTCTATTTTTGTCTCATCAGACCACATGACCTTCTCCCATTCCTCCTCTGGATCATCCAGATGGTCATTGGCAAACTTCAGATGGGCCTGGACATGCGCTGGCTTGAGCAGGGGAACCTTGCGTGCGCTGCAGGATTTTAATCCATGACGGCGTAGTGTGTTACTAATGGTTTTCTTTGATACTGTGTTCCCAGCTCTCTTCAGGTCATTGACCAGGTCCTGCCGTGTAGTTCTGGGCTGATCCCTCACCTTCCTCATAATCATTGATGCCCCACGAGGTGAGATCTTGCATGGAGCCCCAGACCGAGGGTGATTGACCGTCATCTTGAACTTCTTCCATTTTCTAATAATTGCGCCAACAGTTGTTGCCTTCTCACCAAGCTGCTTGCCTATTGTCCTGTAGCCCATCCCAGCCTTGTGCAGGTCTACAATTTTATCCCTGATGTCCTTATACAGCTCTCTGGTCTTGGCCATTGTGGAGAGGTTGGAGTCTGTTTGATTGAGTGTGTGGACAGGTGTCTTTTATACAGGTAACGAGTTCAAACAGATGCAGTTAATACAGGTAATGAGTGGAGAACAGGAGGGCTTCTTAAAGAAAAACTAACAGGTCTGTGAGAGCCGGAATTCTTACTGGTTGGTAGGTGATCAAATACTTATGTCATGCAATAAAATGCAAATTAATTACTTAAAAATCATACAATGTGATTTTCTGGATTTTTGTTTTAGATTCAGTCTCTCACAGTTGAAGTGTACCTATGATAAAAATTACAGACCTCTACATGCTTTGTAAGTAGGAAAACCTGCAAAATCGGCAGTGTATCAAATACTTGTTTTCCCCACTGTACGTATAGCAAGCCACGACCACGTGACTTTTTCGTCATTTTCGTGAATGGGGTGGTGTACCTAATTAACTGGCCCCTGTGTATACCACCTTTTGCAAAACTTCACAGAATAGTAACAAATTGTTTTCATCAGAAGAGAAATCTGTGCAATTGTGTTCACTGTTTCCGGTAATCAATAAATACTACTACACAGAATTTTAAATCACACTATCAGTGTCACACCATGTAAAATACATGGATAGATCTAGACAATGGGGACTGTCTAATTGTGTTAGGATGTTTTACAATATTGTGGACAGGCAGAGATTTAGAGAATGAAGTTGGGTTACTTCTAAGTCATTGTCTTCAACATTGCGACCTTCCATTACAGAACTTTGCTTGTGTGTGGATTGAGGCCTATACATTCAAATCAGTTGTTTCTCCATTGTATCAACATTTCCTTATTTCTATTGTGGATTGTGTTTCTACAAAACTATAAGCAAACCAGCCTTTGTATTGAATGCATGGAATTGGATTGTGATGACACTGATTAATGAATCCTGCACACTGTCTATTTGATTTGATGAATATGAAATTGTTTGGTAAGATATGCTTACATTTTTTGTAATTACCCATAATTCTGCACATTTGGTTAGTTGTCCTTCCGATTTTGATTATCATGATTTAGTGACCATAAATAAAATGTGTTGATCTACTGGGATTTTTTTTTTAACAGACTAACTTTCTGTTTTGTCTGTTTAGCCTATCATTGCCTTAATCTTTTTGCAGGCAGTCATGTTCTTTTGTTAATGTATTTGCAATTTTGACCACATTTTGAAAACGCATTTACTGTTTGCAAAAGGCCACAGAGTTGTGAAAATCCACAATATTGTTTTTAAAAAATGCTGTACACCATTGAGAAAAACTGTACAAACATAGAATAGAATATAAATGGCAAATACCAGCATGCGCTTACAATTTATTTGCAAAAATGGTTGACAGCTCAATAATCAGCTTACAAAATCATTCATGGGTGCAATCAACGCATATAAACAACGTACCTATGCTTGGCAGGTGAATGCTATTTACAGGTGCAAGAGGCGCCGCGTAAATCAGCAACCCGTTGAACAGCAGCCCAACCAGAAGGGACACGACGCTCATACTGTCACATTAAGCTCATAAAATGTGAGCGAAAATGCATCTTTGAAGTTTAGATACAAACAGGAAGTATGGTGGTCATGTGACTGATTTATCCGCTCCCGGGTTGTGAAAACAGTGCGGTCACCCGAGCACTTTAGATAGCTTACATTTCAAAGAGAGTCGAGAGAAAGCAGAGGTCGCCCGGCGCTGATCTACTAAAATAATATTTGACTTTGGCGCACGCATACACACGCCAAAGGCCCTTTTGCAACATTGTTACAACATGGACTTCCAAGTGATGTGAGCTTGATTTCTGCTGATACATTGTATCGAATAGTCATAACATAAATACATTGTGGCAGACACAGACGTAAGATCTTACCTATGAGAAGAACTACTGCAATGCAGGACATTTAAAACGTGTAGTGTATTCGAGGTTTAGAAAGGCTTCTGAAGTTTCCACTTTGAAATGTCAGACTTGATTTTTCCTTACGAAAAATGTATCAACCGCTATAAAAATGTTCATTAATTATAATCCACATAATAATTCACATTTCCTGTTGTTGCAGAACTATTTTCCTGTTGTAGCAAACTGGCTCCAATTAAGATCCTACATATGTCGGCTACACATTGTTTCAATCTCAATGCAAGTTTGGAACACCATTATAATGGTTTGATTAGGATATATTTTCTCCATCTAACATGTTACATAACAGTTAATAACACTAAATGTGTGAACTAATATATGGCCTATTATTGTGAGGTAGGACTACAGATAGGTAGCCTACAAAAGCCTCAAAATGACAGATAGTGGTTTGAGGATTTCACTCTCTGTGAGATATATACCAACTCAGCCTACACAAGTGATAACTTGACAGTCTCACAGACAGACTTGCTCAATCATTGAGTGAGTTAATATGTTGACTTTGAGGAAATTGCACAATCAATGGGTATCAGTCATTTAAATAATAGAGTAAAAATATATACTTTTTGAGTTAATTTTTTTATTTCAGTATGTTTCACACAGGTTTACAAAGGATGATCTATCATGAAAGAAATGTATATAAAAATTTCTTACAAAAAAGATTTCCAGCCCATGTCATAAAACAGTTGGAAGGATGAAGTGCAAAGGTCAGCATACAGTAAAAAACAAAAAACATATTGGCTGTCTTCCAGTAAAATGGACTCAAATGATTTAACTAGTGATGACTCTCAGCTCATGCCTTCTCGTAGGTACGCACCGCCACAATGTCTTCAAATGTGAGAGTCTGTGGATCAGATAAAATAAAAAATAAATAACTGTGAAATTAGTAAATCAAACATGAAATAGAGTATATGAATGAAATGAATGAATTAATATGAATTACATTTTATTTTAGTGTCAAATCGCCAATTGGCAACCCATCCCGTTTGGGATTAATTGACACAAACAAACATTACAATAATTCACTGTGGTAATTCAATGATAATTCTTCTTCCGGTGTTCTCTGCATTGCACATTGCATAAAGAGTGAACAAAATGTAAGGTAAAAATCTATACATAATAGTAAATAAGGTTATCCAAACAATAATTATATCCCTAGAGCAGTAAAATAATATACATACATACATACATACATGCATACATACATACATACATACATACATACATACATACATACATACTGTATATATACACATACATACATACATACATACATACATACATACATACATACATACATACATACATACATACATACATACATACATACATACATACATACATACATACTCATAATTATTAAAAGTACAATATTGCTCGTTTTATGGTGATAAAAATAAGAGTCCAGTTTCTATTAGCAATACATCTCATCAGGTCAGACCGGAAATGATCATTGTATAATATGATAATTGTATTATATGATACTTGTATAATATGATAATTGCATAATATGGACTATTAGAGGTAAGCCTGCAAACTTGCATTTAAAAAATGTGATGTAAAACTACAGTCATCATGTTGAACTGATGAGGACAATGCACATTTTCTTTACTAATTTGCAGATCTCTCCACATTGACAACTATACTACTATGCTTCAGCATAAAGGCTTTCAACATAGAAATACCCTTTCCACCAGTACTAGTACTAGTGGGCTTGCTTCCTCACTGCCTTGTTTCATCATCCATATTATCCAGGAATTCACATTTCAGAATTAACTCAGTAAGGCTCTTACCATGACCAATTTTCCGTCCTTGATTTCTCTCACAAACTTGGTCTCCTTGCCGTCCCACTTCTGAACGTGCGCAAGCTTATCACCATCCAAACTCACAGTGGACTGCAAACAGATGGGAAAAATAGGTCAGAATATTGCTCTCACCAACTAGTTACATATAGTTACAATGTTATTGTAACTTCTATCAAGCAAGAGATACAATACTTGCAATCTTTCCGTACAACATCCAAAACATAATCCAGATCATATTACTCTTACAAATATATTTGGACTGGGCTCTGTAACAGGCTTCTCAAACCCAGTGAAAAATATGAGCCATGTAGTGTATATCCACAATTTTGACCATGAATCCCACGTTGTAGCACTTACTTTACAGTTTCTGTCATCTGCAGTTGCTTCATCAAACTCCTCTCCCAGTTTGAAGGATATTTCAGTGTTCTTGAAAGTACTCTGGGTTTTTACGACCACTTTGTCCCCCTCTTTTGCGATGATAACGGTTGGTTTGGTCACATTTCCGACCTGCCTTGTTGCAAAACCAACACCTGCGAAATTAAAGAAAAAAGTAAATAAGAGGTGTGATCATGCAAAAGACATGACCTGATGCGAACTACCATACATCATGTAATTGATCAAATATAGGTCATAAATAAAATGTGGTATTATTAGGTTATAATTTGAAAGTTATAAAAACTCACCAAGTGCTTTCATGTACTCATCGAAGTTTTCACTGTCGACCAGTTTCCAGGTGGCACAGAAGGCATCAACCATGATGAAGAGTTAGAGGACCGTGCAATAAGAGAACTGAGGTAAAGTTGAAACTGATGGTGCCGTGAGTCTTTATGAGCGTTTTCAGTAACACCTACATTATTGTTTGGGGCTTATTAATATTCATCCTATATGGGGCGGATACTTACTTCCCATTGGCTCAGGAGATGCTCTCTATCTTCTGATTGGTGTTGAGCGCTTCTAAAGCTATATTTCGATTTTTACTTTACGTAGCGTGATTTGACTCAAAGTACCCATTGCAAAATACAATTATTATTTATCAACTGATCGTGCATTGATTGCAGTTGCAGATCTGTCTTGTGACTTACTAGAGTAAAGTTCTGCACGGTAAATGGAATGTGTCATATCTAGGGCTGTGAAAACACTCAGCCGGAATCAGAGCTTGTTTGATAATCCTTTGTCAAGTGGATTAACCACTCAAACAGTCTCATGGACTTTCAGCATTGAGGACAGCCATTATGCACACTGTGTGCATTCAACTAAGGCATATGTTTCAGGCAAAGAAAGCTATTAATTTCCAGTATCCTAAATCTGAAGCAAAGTAAAAATTGAAAATTTATTTATTGCATTATTGGGTAGGCTATGGTTAAAGTAATTATTCCATAGCATGACATCAGGTTCTGACTATTCTGATTAAATATGTGATTAATATGTATGCATGTGCATGTATGAATACTATTAGGAGACAATCATCTGTTTTACTTGGCCCTCTAAAGATGTTCAGTGCTTTGTTTCCAAGCGTTGTGAAATTTGATACAGAGTAAATTAACATGGGTAGCCTAATTCATAGCGATAGTTACCGGAGTGTAACTCCAGTTCTATGAGTGGAGCAGAGCCCCATAGGGGAGCTCTGCTCCTATTGGTTGCCTAGGCAGCGGAGGAGCTATGGGGCGGAGCTCCACGATATAGAACATGTAGATTTCTTATTACAGTAACACGCATAATCCATATTTGAACAAAGATGTCTCCTTCATTTATTGTTTCAATATCTATATTCAGTTAACAATTTGCTATATATTTAATGTCAATAAAAAAGGGTGTTATAAAAAGAGAATGTACTGTGTATTTGCCAGTGGCTTCTGTAAAATCCGTTAATGTCGGTGTGAAAGACATGTTTGGTGCCCTCCTCTGGCCAAATCAGTCACCAGACACTATGGTACAATACAGTATAAGACACATAAATCTAAAAAAAAAACGTTATTTTTTCAATGGTGACAAACACACCACAATATTCTGGTTTCATGGCTAAGAAAAGCTCTGCTGACATACTGTATTATTTCAGCTGACTAAGGGAAAGTAGGACAGACAATGTAATCACCATTTTACTGCCAATGATTACACAACGTAAGTTGGTATCAATTTTACTGTGTAATGAGATGCCTACCTTTTACAAAGACAATAAACAAACATATATTTTTTAATTATAGCCTCTGAAAAATATTCACAACAATGCCGTACATAGAGCATAATGTTTATTACCTGCAGTGGAAATTGAAATGCATTTTACAGGGTGGCAAATATAATGTAAAACTCTATTTACAGCCCGAAAATACATGTATTTTTTACTTCTAATAACTCTGTTGTTAATAATGTATATTTTAACAGTAAAAAACACACGGTAGAGGTTGCACTGTAGCACACTAATAAACCACAATTATAAGATTGTACTTACAGTGAGGGAAAAAAGTATTTGATCCCCTGCTGATTTTGTACATTTGCCCACTGACAAAGAAATGATCAGTCTATAATTGTAATGGTAGGTTTTATTTGAACAGTGAGAGACAGAATAACAACAAAGAAATCCATAAAAACGCATGTCAAAAATGTTATAAATCGATATGCATTTTAATGAGGGAAATAAGTATTTGACCCCCTCTCAATCAGAAAGATTTCTGGCTCCCAGGTGTCTTTTATACAGGTAACGAGCTGAGATTAGGAGCACACTCTTAAAGGCAGTGCTCCTAATCTCAGCTTGTTACCTGTATAAAAGACACCTGTCCACAGAAGCAATCAATCAATCAGATTCCAAACTCTCCACCATGACCAAGACCAAAGAGCTCTCCAAGGATGTCAGGGACAGGATTGTAGACCTATACAAGGCTGGAATGGGCTACAAGACCATCGCCAAGGAGCTTGGTGAGAAGGTGACAACAGTTGGTGCGATTATTCGCAAATGGAAGAAACACAAAATAACTGTCAATCTCCCTCGGCCTGGGGCTCCATGCAAGATCTCACCTCGTGGAGTTGCAATGATCATGAGAATGGTGAGGAATCAGCCCAGAACTACACGGGAGGATCTTGTCAATGATCTCAAGGCAGCTGGGACCATAGTCACCAATAAAACAATTGGTAACACACTACGCCGTGAAGGACTGAAATCCTGCAGCGCCCGCAAGGTCCCCCTGCTCAAGAAAGCACATATACATGCCCGTCTGAAGTGTGCCAATGAACATCTGAATGATTCAGAGGAGAACTGGGTGAAAGTGTTGTGGTCAGATGAGACCAAAATTGAGCTCTTTGGCATCAACTCAACTCGCCGTGTTTGGAGGAGGAGGAATGCTGCCTATGACCCCAAGAACACCATCCCCACCGTCAAACATGGAGGTGGAAACATTCTGCTTTGGGGGTGTTTTTCTGCTAAGGGGACAGGACAACTTCACCGCATCAAAGGGACGATGGACGGGGCCATGTACCGTCAAATCTTGGGTGAGAACCTCCTTCCCTCAGCCAGGGCATTGAAATTGCGTCGTGGATGGGTATTCCAGCATGACAATGATCCAAAACACACGGCCAAGGCAACAAAGGAGTGGCTCAAGAAGAAGTAGATTAAGATTCTGGAGTGGCCTAGCCAGTCTCCAGACCTTAATCCCATAGAAAATCTGTGGAGGGAGCTGGAGGTTCGAGTTGCCAAACGTCAGCCTCGAAACCTTAATGACTTGGAGAAGTTCTGTAAAGAGGAGTGGGACAAAATCCCTCCTGAGATGTGTGCAAACCTGGTGGCCAACTACAAGAAACGTCTGACCTCTGTGACTGCCAACAAGGGTTTTGCCACCAAGTACTAAGTAATGTTTTGCAGAGGGGTCAAATACTTACTTCCCTCAATAAAATGCAAATCAATTTATAACATTTTTGACATGCGTTTTTCTGGAGTTTTTTGTTGTTAATCTGTCTCTCACTGTTCAAATAAACCTACCATTAAAATTATAGACTAATCATTTCTTTGTCAATGGGCAAACGTACAAAATCAGCAGGGGATCAAATACTTTTTTCCCTCACTGTACATCACCAAATGGAATGTTTATACTTTTGTTGTGCAAAAATAGACATTCCTGTAACTACATGTTGACATTCTGAGAAAATGTTTTCATTGGAACACCTCCATATGCAGCATATGTACAAGTCACTCTTGCTCAAATATGAAATGACATTTTTCAGAATCATGCCCAACTGTCAGCCACTTCACCAGTTCACTGCATATGCTAAGATGAACAAGACATAAATGCTGGCTCATTCACCGTACATCTAATGAATTATGGGTAATCTTGAATGAATACCCCCTTAAAGCTACAAAGAAACAACCACTTCATTCCTAGCGACAGAGCTTTCCCTTCCCTTCATCATCCAGCAGCTCTTTAAGTTTTCATCATAGGTGTCCTGATGTTGCATAGCACGGTGCATGACGATTACAGTTGTCTGGTCAATGGGGTTTGTTTGAGGAGAAGCGGGCCATGTTAGAGACAGTCTCTCTCTTGTTCTCCATCTTCTCTCGTAGTCAGTTAGCCAGAGACCAAGGCCCAATTACGTCCCCTCTGCCTTCTCCTCACCCTCTGTAGGACTCTTCGGTGGGCTTCCAGAGGACGAGCCCTCTCCTCCTTCTCCTCCATCATCTGAGAAACACACAGAACAACATTCATTATTTCAGTCAGAAACATATAATTGAAAATGCCTCAAGGGCCCATGTAGTTGAAAATGTCTGCATTCCAATTATAATCCAAACTGTGTACTCTCCCCTCTTTTGTGTTGGTTTGTAAGATATGGAGGATATGTTGCATTCACAAGATAAAAGGAATATGAGATTGTCAACCTCATCACATAACATATAGCTGGCTGACACCTTGAATATCAACAGAGACTAATCATAGCATAGACCCTCACAACTCAACCGCTTTGTTCATATCCAGCATTTTAATACTGATTTGAACACTGTCAAAGTGCAATACTCCACATAGAGATTTCATTGAGATGAGAATCTTCTGGGGAAATGGGCCAATACCAACTGCTTCTTGCCAGACACTTACGGTATTTTATTCTAACGATCAAACACTACTCTGCTTTGATCCTCATAGGGCAAGGCCTGGGGGATTTATACTACAAATTACAGGCAACTATGTTATATCTGGTTCATGCCCTCTATAACACGAGGACCTATTGACCCCGACATTGAACTGCAGCTACTAAGTGAAAGGAAGCAGTGCTGAGTAATAAAGTTATACATCTACAAAGGCCTCCAACTAACAATGACTTCCCCCCCTATGAACCAATGCATGGATTGGCTTCCCCTCACTGATAGGTAGCCCTTTCCGAATGACCCTCACAGCCATTGAGCTATTACTAAAAGAGAAAGATGGCTGTTCCCTTCTTTTGTTTCCATTGAAACCGTTAAAGCTGTGGTACATTTTCCATACTGTTAACTTCCAGATGCCCTTTCCACTAAACCCTGCTTGATTAATGGAAAGCTGGCTGTCCAGACAGACACTTGCTAATGGTGATGGGTACTAGGCTGGCAGGGCCTAACAAAAGCACCCAACCATCTAAGTGTTTCTTTAATGACAGAGTGCTTTGTTCTCTGTTGTTAAGTGATGCTCTGCCACGCTTTTCCCTTATGTTTAGATTTGGATTGTATCATTCATGGAAAAGTGCATGTACTTCTGTGATCGAAAAACAGACAGAGTACTATCTTTAATATTCACAAAATACTGCATCTAAAATAAACAGATACAAATTGTAATCTTAATGTTGAGATGAAAATACCTTCAATTGTACAATTCATTCTAATCATTAACAGAGTGAAA